CTCAAAGACATGCTTCTTTTCGAAGATCAATCCTATGTAAATCGATCATTCTAGAGATACTTGGGTGGATGCATATGGTTCGGAAAATGTAACTTCCCATATGTGCATTTTAATTTATTAATTTCATGTGTTAAAATACTTTTGTTTGGTATATGATTGAGAACTCTAGTTTGTAGCAGTGGTGGATGCATATTGGAATCTAGGTGGTCCCAAGACCATCTGGAATCTAAGAAATATACTGTGAAGGTCTTCTGAGGACCCTTTGAATGTTTGGTATGGTTTTTTTTTGTGCACACCAAGTGTTTGAGGAAAGCTCTCACATGTTGTATCGACAATACTCATCAAATTCTTTCAATAACACTCAACATATTGCTTCGGCATATGTCAATACCTATTGACATGTGCGCAACTTGGTTTAGTTGATGACACAAACTCACCAAGTGTTCGACAAAATGTCTCATCAAATAGACTGTATTTTTTTTTTTTTTTTTGCGCATGCTTCCTGCTCTTTTTCGATCTAAAAAACTTGAACCTTTAATAGTGGTGTTTAGAATGAATCCCACATTGATGGGAGGAGAGACCTTCCATGAGCTTATAAGTAAGTTGAGCTACTTCCTATATTGCCAATTGGTTTTATGGTTGAACCTCAACTTTCTTCATGGTATCAGAATTGGTTGTCCCATGTGTGAAGCAAACGGCCACAAGTACTCCATGGCATACATTGTGATGTCCATATGTTAGGCTTGAAAATTCGCCACACGTGTTGAGACATGTTGAGAATGAATCCCACATATTGATAGGATGAGGGACCTTGCATGAGCTTATAAGTAAGTTAGGCTACTCTTCATGTTGCCAATTGATTTTATGATTAAACCTCAACTTTCTTCAACTGAGACACCCTAAAATTCGAATCTTGAATCTGTCACTGATTTGTAGCGATAACACGAAAAATACACAAATCAAATAAAGAAGCTCAGGATCATATTTGTAGATATTGAAATTTCGGTGAAATAAATGTTCACCAACACATTAAAGTTTTGACATGATAGGGCATACATGGCATGCGCCATGTGTCTCACAAATCATACACGTGAATGTGACTCATCAAAATCGAACTAGTCATCAAGAATGACACGTGTCAACACTTGGCGGAAATGAATTATTTGATTTTAATTAAATTAAATCAAATATTAATTGATGGAGTCAAATCACGAACCGGCCTACAAATCGAGTCCTGGTTCTTTCGTAAATTAATCAAGCCCACAATCAAGGCCAACCATCTGTAGGCAAAGCTTAGAAGTCTATAAATATGAGGTTCCATAACAAAAAAAAAGGATCCAGAAATCATTCAAGCACCCAAATGCTGCTAAAGCTCAAGCATCCAAATCCCCAAAACATTTTGAAGATTTTAGAAAGCTCTCTGCATTCTTCACCAAACCTTCAAAGAATCATCAAGCACTACTACCTGTGCCGATCCTTCAAATAGCCAAGAACCAAAACCTCGCAGCAATTGTTCATCCAAGATTAAGTCATCGCGATCCTTGGATCAACAACATACACATCTACACATCTTTTGGAGATCAAATCAGAGGAAACTTGTAAACAGAGATTGTAACCCTACAATTACATTAATACAAACATTTACTTTGTACACGTGTTCTTATTTTATTTGCTACAAGATTTTCGTGTTTACAATATTGCTTGTAAACGTATTAAGTTTTTCTTTTCGTTTGTAAGAGTCAATCGCTTGCATTTTAGGGTTAGCTCATAGCCCTACCCATGCATGCAATTTTTTTTTTCTTCCTTCTTTTGTTAAAGCCATGCATAAAAATATACGTTGGAAAACAACAGCAACTTTGCAAGAAAAAAGCACGTTATCAAGATAAGGTACGCCAATTAATCACAAAAAGTTGAAAAGCAAGAATGGTTATTGGGTTAGAGATATACAGTGTTCTGAATTTCTTGATAAGGTAACACAACCTCTCAAGTGTATAATTAGCTTTTGCTTTTTTATCTTAGCTATGCAGCTGGTACGCATCTAGTATGGTCGCAAGTTTTGGTGGGCGCCAGAACTGGGCGCCATGCAAGTCGGCCCTTCAATGAGACGTGGTTAAAGAAGAAAATGCCTCATCATGTAGGGCTTTTAACTCTTTTTATTTGGTTGTACATGGATCTCCAGTCTTCATCCGGTGAGATATTCTTAACATGCAAGTCCTCCTATGCATAACTTGTGTTTTATATAGAGACTAGTTGATAATTATTTCGTTTTCAATTTTCAGTTTTTATTTTCACTTTTTAAAAATTTTAAAAATGAAGTCTTGTTTGGTATCTATATTCAATGTTAATTGAACGATTAAAAGATTTATGTTTTGGTTGATTTTTTGTAGAGTTTACTTTTAAAGAGTAAAGTAGACCATATCTATCATAATGCAACATTGTTAAATAAGAAAGAGAGTGGATAAAGTAGAACGAGAATGTCACAAATAAGGTCATTCATCCTCCTTTACAAAAAGCTTCTTATGTTCCTACGAATTTGTAAGGGGTTGCTGATTTTCCCTTAACTTTAACTTTGCTGATTACTCCCCTAAACTATTACAATTAGCCAATTTCTCCTCTGACGTTAGATTTTGAAAACTTTCATCCAATTTTCTATTCATTTTGGTCACATGACAAATATTTGACGGCAATAAAGTAATTATATATCTAATTTGGACAACAAATTGTTTTTTTTTTCCTTCTTCTCTTCTTCCACCGTTAGTTGACTCTGTACATTTTCTGTTTGAATTAGCCATGAGAGTCCAATTAGCAGCTGCAATGCATTGGCTTTGTGCCCATTTTATCAAAACATTATTACCTTTTTGCCAACATACAATTTCCATGTATTGTCCGCGTGATAATGATGGATGAAATTTTTCAAAATCTAACACTTGGAGAAATTGGTTATTTACAAAAGTTTTGGAGCGTAATTGGTTAAAATTAAAGTTCAAGAGAGAAGTTGACAGCTCTGTATAAATTCGGAGGCAAATTGACAAATTGATCAAAAGAAAAAGAGAAAAATGTCCTTTGCCATCCATGCTGAATTAATGGATCACTTCTTTGGGCTTCAGTGTAGCTCATTAAGGTTTAGAAGTGAACTAAACTGGGCTGCCCTGTCTTAATTGGCTCGACCCTAATAGTCAGGTTTGGGTTGAAATATGTGGCCCAACTTCCAAGACTGGTTTCATCAAAACTTAATTAAATCGGACCATCTTACTTTCAAAAAATTTGTTACTTTTATATCGCTTCAAACATAAGAATTGTTATTAGCACTCTATACAATGTTATGGAGAAATGTTAAAGAGATTAAAAGAAAAAATTAAAAATTAAGCATTAGTGAATTTAGTAAGATTTACACAATAAGTCATTTCATTTTCTAAAATGTATATTGAGAAATGTTAAGGGTATTCCCTTAAAAGTAGAATTCTTTATGAATTCTCTATTACCTCGTATTTTAACGTCAATTCTCGTACAAACATTATAAAATATTGTGTCAAACCTCCCCTCCCCCCTAAAAAAAAACCAATATTAAACTTTTACCAGAACAAATTAAAAATTTAACTCAAAAGCAAAATTATACTTATGTCTTGATACAGGCAAATTTATACATACGTCACATGCAAGTAATAAAGGTAAAACATTTAAAATGCGACAATGATTTAGAACACCAATAAACACTTGATCATGAATTTAATAGCTATATACGGTTTCTTACCAAAATTTATGATTCTAGTTAGGAGTGGAATTTTTTGCCAAATTACTATACTAATTAAATTACCAATCGTACCATACTAAAGTTATGTCAAAAAATTTGTACTATTGGTAATTGTACGGTATTTGTACCGTACCATACATTTTCGGTACGGTAATAGTATTCAAAACCATTACTAGTGGTATACATACCACTATTATTAATATTATATCATTTATTTATTCATTTATATATATAATTAGGTATTATTATCATTATATATGCACTTTATATTTTTTTTCCTAATCATTTATCAAATCATCTCACCCTCTAACCTCTACTTTCCCAATAAAAAAACCTAAGCCTTCTTGCGCTGCGACTCTTCATTTTTTCACTCATCTAACCATCGGCTTCATCTATGTTGATGCCGTTCTGGCAACTCTCTCTCTCTCTTTGCTGTCCATCTCACCTTCTCCTTCATCAAATTGGGATGTGTTTTTCCCTGGCTTCATTTATTAAGTTAATTTTTGTACAATTTTAAAGAATGTAGAGATGGAATTTAGAAATCTTTGTACTATTTTTTTTAGGGATGTTGGGTTCTCTCGGCAATTCTTTCTTCTATTTACTTCTTGTTTCTTAAATGAATCTCTATAAAATTTTCATAATTAAATAAAAAAGTTTTAGAAAGCCAAAGAGTGGCCAAACACACATTTGGGCCTTGAATTGGGTTGGAAAAAAAAAATCAAAATTTCGCCCAAAAGAATGGCCCAAAACAAAGTGGTAATTACCATTACCATACCATGTCAACCGAATTATTTGGCATGCCGAAATTCGGTATACCAAAAGTCTAGCAGGGTAATGGTAATAGATTTTATCATATCAAAAATTTGGTATGATAATTGGTACATAGGTTTTGATACGGTAATCGTACCAATACCACCCCTAATTCTAGTTACAATAAAAAGATAAAATTTAACAACTTAACAAAATATAAACCATAAAACCTAAAAAAACAAGAAAGAAAAAAAATCTTTAGTCATTATTTCAAAAAGATATTTGGTCATTAATTACAGGAAAAAAAAAAGAAAGAAAAATGAATTAACTCTCTCTTGAGAGATTTTTCAATGTAATCATTACACAAAATAATACATAAATAGTTAAATATATATTCAAAAGTTAATAATTTAAAAAATATAATTCTTCACTACTACGTGTCCTGTCACAATTAAAATTTTCTCGTCTTTTTATTTGTTCTCTTTTCTCTCTCTATCTGTCTCGTACCGGGGTCTAATCTATCAGCTGCTGCCTTCTCAAATCTTCGTCTCGCTTTCTCTCTCCTCACTTTCTCTCTCTATCTCTTTCACTTACAATGCGCTGTTGATGAGTTTGATGTCTCACCCCACCAAACGCTCCTCAGCCATCAACCACAGCAGCAGCGGCACCTCCTCCTCCTCCTCCTCCTCTCTCAACCCTTCTTCCGCCGGCCCACCCATGAAAAAGGCCAAGTCGCAGGCGGTGGCCTGTTCCCTCGATCCCAGCAAAAATGGCCTCCACCACCACCACCACCACCCTCACACTCACCCTCCCCAGGACCCCGATAACGACGCCGTATTCGACCCCTCTTCCATGTCCCTCGACGATGATCTCAGGCCCGACGACCCCTCTCCCCGAGGCGTCGCCGCCAATTTGTCCCGCAAAAAGGCCCAGCCCCCTCAGCCCTCTACCAAGAAGCTCGTCATCAAGCTCGTCAAAGGTACGGCTTCTTGATCCTAAAACGCCGTCGTCTTTTGGGCTAATTTTGATATATTGGGTTCAGATAGTCATTCTAGGTTTTGTAGGATTGGATAGGATCTTTGGTTTTGCTTTGGGGTTTGAGGACTAGGGCAATTTGTTGACTTAGGTTTTGGGTTCAATTAGGTCGAACTGAGAGGTGGGTTCCAACTTGGATAATTCAGTTTCATGTGGGTTTTGTGCAAAATTTCAACTTGTATCATTTGCAAGACGGGAATAAAGAAATCCTTTTATGTTTTTGAATGTGTATTTGCCCTTAATTTTCTTTCCATGCTAGCACTTCTGCAAATTAGTTTAACACTAGTGCTCGAATCTTGCGTGTCCTATGCAATTTGCATGCTTTCGATGAAAACATGTTTCGTCTGCGGTTACTGTGATTGGCTAGCTGATTTTGATGACAAGTACTTCTTAAGCCATTATCTGGTCAGTGATTGAACTAGGGAAGTTCCAGTTCTGTCTATGGTAATCTGAATTAGGTGTCACCATTGCTGTCCTAGATGCTCTCTGTGTAGGAAGTAGTTGGTTCATGAACAAAGTGAAGGTTTTGCATGACATATAGCTTGAGCTTATTATCTACCATACATTTAGATGAGAGACTTTAAAGTTCATAGGAATTCTCTTGTTAAGACCCTATGAATTGGTTAAAACCTCAGATTCATAGTAAAACCATGAGAATTCAATAAAGGTGTCATTTTGAAATTCTACGTGTCTTTGTAGTGTATTTGTATTGTTTTAGTAGTAGCTTTGTAGTGCATGGGTATTCTTTGGTAGTGTCCTTGTAGTAATTATGCCGAGTTTAAAGTTCCTTGGTACTTTCAACATCCCTCCTCCAAAACATAGGGCTAATGTTCTTTGTAGCATGATTAGGTTTGGATTAGAAATTATGTTTTTCTGGGGTGCTAGTTACAAGCGGACGTAGCAGTGCACAATAATTGTTAATTTGGGCTGGTTGTCTGGTTTCATTGCAGCAAGGTCTAGTACTGGCTTCTACACACATACACACAAAAGCACAGACATGCGTACACTCATACATGAAGATAGAGATAGAGAGAGTTACTCACCAATGTCATGCTCATTTTGTTTTGCAAATTACACTACATTTTGACAAAGGTTACCAACTAATTCCATGTTGTCTTAATGAAGCTAAACCCACATTACCCACAAATTTTGAAGAGGAAACATGGGCAAAGCTGAAGTCGGCTATTTGTGCTATATTCTTGAAGAAACCTGATTCTTGTGACTTGGAGAAGCTTTATCAGGTAGAACAACCACATTTCTCTTTGTTTTGCAATATGAATTTCCATGCATTAGGGTTAACAGAAAACAAATCATGTTCTCCTCAGGCTGTTACTGATCTCTGCCTGCACAAGATGGGAGGAAGTCTTTATCAACGGATTGAGAAGGAGTGCGAAAGACACATAGCTGCAGCGCTGCAATCTTTGGTTGGCCAAAGCCCAGATTTAGTGGTTTTTCTATCACTTGTTGAGAGATGCTGGCAGGACCTCTGTGATCAGATGTTAATGATTCGCAGTATAGCCTTATATCTTGATAGGACATATGTGAAACAAACACCAAATGTGCGTTCATTGTGGGACATGGGATTGCAGCTTTTCCGCAAACATCTTTCTCTGTCTGCAGAAGTTGAACACAAAACTGTCACTGGCCTTTTAAGAATGATAGAGAAAGAAAGGTAAGTTATATTCCATCAATATCAACTAATGGTATGTTGTAGGACAGATTCGATAACATTTGTGGTGGGTTGGTTTGGAAAATGTGAGTTCAAAAAATGATCGTAAACTTTCAAGACCATAATTATAGTCCTTACTTCCCAGATTTCTCCTATTTCTAGAAGGTTAGTGAGGGTTTTAGGCTGTATGGGTGGATTGATTAGGTGAGGTTTTGATGGATGAATGCTTGTAGATATATGTTATATGTTATAGGCATTTGAATCTTCTTACTTTCAAAAGGAAACTTCTCACTTTTAAGTTCATTATATATAGCCAAGATTGTGTTGGGTCTGTAAGGGTAGACACTTGCAGCTCCAAATGTTTGTCTTATTAAGGGGTAATCGGTAGGCCATGAGGAGTAATAGTATATGTGGCGTGCCATAGAGCTCCCACACCATGAAGTAAAAAGCTTAGCGCCCAGGTGTTAATCAAGACCTAAGACTTGAATGTTGATCTATTAACATATTACAAGTCTCTTTATTAATTTGTTGCGTTTGTTTTTGCAACTAGTAAATCTACAATGTTGTGGTTTTGGTTTTCCAGATTAGGTGAAGCAGTGGCCAGGACTCTGCTTAACCATCTTTTGAAGATGTTTACAGCTTTAGGGATCTACTCAGAAAGCTTTGAGAAGCCATTTCTTGAATGTACTTCTGAATTCTATGCTGCTGAAGGCATGAAATATATGCAGCAAGCAGATGTTCCGGATTATTTGAAGCATGTGGAGGTGCATATTCTCTCTCCATCTCTCAAGTCTTTATGAGGCCTATTTACTTCAGCAATTTCTTTTCTTCTCATCTGTATTTTTTGAACATAATGACTTCTTCCTATTACTTTGAACCTATCTAGCTTGTCTCTTTGTCACTATGATGACTTATGCCTACCATTGGAGATTTTTGGATAACTTGTTGCAGACAAGGTTGCATGAAGAACATGAAAGATGTTTAATCTACCTGGATGCAAGTACAAGAAAGCCATTAGTTGCAACAGCGGAAAAACAGCTTTTAGAGCGCCATATTCCTGCCATTCTCGACAAGGTTTTGATCTTGTTATGAACTTTATTTTTCTATCTTCAAGTTTTTGAATTCTTTCTACCCCTATGTACTGAATTTAGGTAATTATGGTTTCCTTATAGGGTTTCACATTGCTGATGGATGGGAATCGCATTGAGGACCTTCAAAGGATGCACACTCTTTTCTCCAGAGTCAATGCCCTTGAATCACTAAGGCAAGCGCTTAGCTCATACATCCGGAGGACAGGGCAGGGGATTATCATGGATGAAGAAAAAGATAAAGAAATGGTTGCTTCTCTTTTGGAATTTAAGGCTTCTCTTGACACTATATGGGAAGAAAGCTTTTTCAAGAATGAAGTATTTTGCAACACCATAAAGGATGCCTTCGAGCATTTAATTAATCTCCGACAGGTAACCTTTTATCCCATTGACTTTTCCCATGTTTCCTCGTGTTTCTTTTCCTTCATAATAAAATGGGAAATCTTCGACGGGGTTTCAAGTGATGCAATGTAGGAAAGGCATAATTTAGCAGAGAAATGATACTCGATTCAAAAGTGGCGAGTACATGGTTAAGAGTTTGGATAAGTTTTGGTTATGGCCTTTCTATCATGAATAACCATCTATAGATTTATTGTCTTCAGTTGAATGTAGCTAGTTTGATTCCATGTACAATCACCCCTTCCCCACCTTTTCCAGTGTGTTTGCAATTTAAGTTTAATGCACTGCTCATAGACATGTTTGATGACGAGTTTTTCTTTCTGTTATAGAACCGACCTGCTGAGCTGATTGCCAAGTTTTTGGACGAGAAGCTTCGTGCTGGGAATAAGGGTACGTCTGAAGAGGAATTGGAGGGAATGCTTGATAAGGTCTTGGTTTTATTCAGGTTTATACAGGTAAGATTTAAGAGTTAATGTCCAAATTAATAATTTGATTACTGGGTTAATTAGCATATCTCATATGCATATTTTCTCTTATCTGTCCGTGCAAGCCCTTGTTACTTAGCTGCTCATGTCTGTCTACAAATGGTACTGATTTAAGGTTCTTTCTTCCTAATCCAGGGTAAGGACGTGTTTGAAGCATTTTATAAGAAAGATCTTGCAAAAAGGCTACTGTTGGGAAAGAGTGCTTCTATTGACGCAGAGAAGTCTATGATTTCCAAGGTAAATAATGGATTTTGATTTTCTTGACATAATACTGAATGAGCTCTCTGTCACTTGATTGGGCTGACCAAATTTCATGTGGACAGCTGAAGACCGAGTGTGGCAGTCAGTTTACAAACAAACTCGAAGGAATGTTCAAGGTGTGCATATTTTCGAAGTCGTATGTTCAGTTGTATTGATTAATTAATATTGCCCCATTATTCATGCCAAAATTAGGGATAGAATTTGTCCTCGCTGATGCATCATTTCAGATTGACTTTTATAGAGTGCACAAAAAGTGAGGTCAAGATCGTAGGGGTTGATTTGTTCTTAAACTTAATCCAGGCCCAAGGTTGCTCATCTCTATAGGATGTAAAATGTGGAAATGGATCTCTTACAGGCTTGTTTAACTGTTATAGTCTAATGAATTCTTGTACTAATTTAAGCTATTCCATCTTACATGCTGGTAGGTGTTGTAGTTAACATAGCATGAATAACACAGTTTCTAGGCTTAACTTTTTCGCTGTTCTCTTTTTGCGAGTACTCTTGGCTGTTCTACTGTTGGAGGATTTTGTTAAAGATTGTAGATTTAATTAGCACTGCAAAGCATTATCTGATAGCCATTAGTTGATCACAATATGCGGTACCACATTAGTGGTTTTCAGTCAACCATTTTGCTCATGTAACACTATGATTGGTACTAGGGAAGGAAACTAGGGAGGATGAATTAGGGTATGTTATGAAAGGAACGAAAAGTTGGAAGGATGGAGAGGAGTGTTCTTCTCTCCTGTTGTTTCGTATGCATCGTAGGAAGGAAAGGCTAGTCGAAATGAAGGAACAATTGGAATCTCCTTCTGAATGTCTTACTTTATTTGTTTTCTGTTTTTCGTTGCAGATGAAAACCATATTTAATGATGGTAAAACACAAGAAAAGGAACTTTCTGTATGGTTGAGTTCAACTTTGCTCATGTTATGGGTTGTAGGTTTTTTTCTTTTCTTTGTGGGCAACAGGGGAAATGTAAATAGTATAGCACTGGGTTGAGATCAACAAAGTTCATTTGTATATGAACTCCTGTAGTTAGTTTGGGATTCATAATTACTTTCTGTATCGTCCACTTTCTTCATTTCTTCTAAAAATCATAGTTACTTTATATAGGGATGGATTTGTGATTCACTTGTGGCTAGAGTTGTATTGCAATATTTAATGATACTAATTTTTTTTTTTTGCATGTACATCTTTTCAGGATATTGAACTGTCGAAAGAGATAAACGAGTCCTTCAAACAATCATCCCAGGCTAGGACAAAACTCCCATCAGGGATTGAGATGAGTGTTCATGTCCTTACGACTGGGTATGCTTCAAATTATTATTTTTTCTTTTAATTTTAAAAAATGGAATGCGAAAAGTTGGTTTGGTTTCTTGTGATGTGTTCAATATGTTCCCTTACAATATTAGCATTAAAACTGAAGATCATGAATCTGACTAAACATTTGTCTTAAAAAAATGAATTCATAAATTTTCACATTTAATTTAAATTTCTTCGATATTGCTGGATCTACTTTAAAACTGTTTATAAAGTTTGGTGAATTTGATTTATATGTCATTTCCATTTAATTCAACCGCATTTCAATCTGTCAAACAAGATATATTCTATATTTATTTAAAAGTATTCATTTGTGCATATACCTTGTTATTGAAATTATACATTTTAGTGAGAGAACATATGGAACCTATTGTGAAGAACTTTACTTAGAACTTGGACTTTATTTTTTTGCATTGTTTATTTTCTCCATATCTGCAAAGAGTTCTAAGCAGTGCTTTGGTACAGGTACTGGCCTACATATCCTCCCATGGATGTTAGACTTCCTCATGAATTGAATGTATACCAGGTCAGTACATGCTACCCAACAGATGCTTTCATTTTTGGCGAGGTTAATGTGCTTAGTAAATTGTTTAACTCATTTTTCTTTGTTCAACAGGATATCTTCAAGGAGTTTTACCTAAGCAAGTACAGTGGTAGGCGTTTGATGTGGCAAAATTCATTAGGCCACTGTGTCTTGAAAGCAGAGTTTCCTAAAGGCAAAAAGGAGCTTGCAGTTTCTCTGTTTCAGGTTGGTCATTATGCTTCTGTTTGCCGGCATTCGTTTTCATTATCCAGCAGAATTCTGTAAATCTACTTGTCTAAGTGAATGAATTATAATTGTTTGGTTTGCCAGACCGTTGTCTTGATGCTGTTTAATGATGCTGAGAAGCTAAGCCTTGAAGACATTAAGGATTCAACTGGCATTGAGGACAAGGAACTGAGAAGAACACTGCAGTCCCTTGCATGTGGAAAAGTTCGTGTCCTACAAAAGGTGGGTGTTTGGATTACTTTCCAGATTCATCTGCAAAATCTTTGTCTATAACATAATTGGAAATGTTGAGTCTTATCCTTATTTTTGGTGTTTTTCCATTTTCTAATTTGTGCTATAGTTTCCCAAACATAATTGGAAATGTTGAGTCTTATCCTTATTTTTGGTGTTTTTCCATTTTCTAATTTGTGCTATAGTTTCCCAAAGGGAGAGACGTGGACGATGGCGATACATTTACGTTCAATGATTCATTTACTGCTCCTCTCTACCGCATAAAGGTAATTTGATTTGCTTGTGCTTAGTGCAAAGTAACAGTTATCAAAAGGTCTCAAGCTCCATGTGCACAAAGGCTTGTATAAGTCTGAGAATTTGCATGGCTGAAAGTATTGTCCTGTCGGTTTTCACCTGTGCTTTAAACCACTCAGGTTCACTGTAGTTTTGGACCACTCCCATGATGTTGCTTACGTTGTTTTGATGGATGCAGGTGAATGCGATCCAAATGAAGGAAACAGTGGAGGAGAACACGAGCACCACTGAAAGAGTATTTCAAGACCGCCAATATCAGGTCAGCCTTTTCTCTGTGTTCCAGATTTTTCCTATTACGCACGTTGGCCGCATCCCAAATTTCAAAATAGATTGTTGCGATCGTTCTGATTGAAAATTGTCTCGCAGGTTGATGCTGCAATTGTTCGGATAATGAAAACTAGGAAGGTGCTGAGTCACACTCTTCTGATAACAGAACTGTTCCAACAGGTAAGTAAAAAGTCACTTGATTTCTTATTCAAATCCATTCATTTATACAAATCAGCATTTACGGGCCTGGAAACAAGTAACGAGCGAGGAAAACTATTGAGGGAAATTGTGTGTTGTTGGTGTTTGTTGTGGTGAGCAGCTTAAATTTCCGATTAAGCCGGCAGATTTGAAGAAAAGGATTGAAAGCCTGATTGACCGGGAGTACCTAGAACGGGACAAGAACAACCCGCAAATTTACAACTACCTAGCATAATAAAGGAAATGAAATCCAGCAGATATTGAAGTTTTCTCCTTTGTAAATGACACAGGAAAGACGACGACTTCTGTCTTGGGGAGGGAAGAAGGCAGGATGTCCTGTCCGGTCCGGTCCCTTCCCTCGTCTAATTTATTATGTACAGCGACTTGTAGTTTTTATCTTTTTTTCTCTTAAATTTTTGTACTTAGATTGTAAAGAATATTTAGTTCGTGCGAAAAAGAGTCGACCACTTGAATGAATTGCTGTGAACAAAGAAAAAAGAAAGAATTATCTTTATCTTCTCTTGCGGCGTCGGTGGCGTCTTCTCTGTGTTGTCGTCTTCTTCACCCGTTTTGTTTTCAGTAGTCTTTACAACACAAAAGTTCGTACCAAAATTCATCAATCGCTTCTTTCACTGGATTTACGTTTGGTTTTGCAAATTTCAACAAAAAAAGTTCGTCATAAAACGTGTTTCTGTAGAATTTTCAGGGGGCCAAAAGCTTTTCAAAAACTCATGCAAGACATTTCAAAAATGTTTGATGTTTGACGGAAATTCGTTTCAGGCTGTATGTCTTTTTCAACAAACAACGACGTTAACGGACTAGATGTTAGGGGAGAAGGAAATCAGTGAGGATTGAACTTATACTGTGATACATGGGTATGGATGCTTAGCGTTGATTTCTTCTGTCATTACGGTAAAACGTTATTTGTCCTGGCTGTAATGGTTTTTATAACGAAATGTGACCACAAAATACCGTCACCCTTGGAGTCGATATATCAGGGGTGAAAGGATGAAGAATGAATGGTAGTGCTTTGATGTTTTAACCTCCACCATCGGTTTTAAATGCGACGGTGGTGATTAAAGTATAAACTCAGATCATCATGAAGAGAACGAGATTACAGTTCTATAAAATTCTTTTCGTTCCACGCGATATTGTACTAATTTACCCTTAAAAAATTTAATTGAGTTTTAGAAATAATTATTAAAAATAATAACAAAATACAAGAAAATTTTGAAAAGTAAGTTAACAGTGTATGATCGGAAAAGGAAAAGGAAAACTATCGGACGGCCTTGACGCCGTCGGAATGTGAAGAAGCTGCGATGGCAGCAGCGGCCTTGGGATCCTCCGCCTCGAGATCCACGGCGATGGTATTGACGGCGGGAGGGTTGAGAGGGGCGCGGATGTCGGAGGAGACGACGGCGTCGTCTGGATCGTAGTCGGGATTGAGATTGCGATCGATGGCTTCGCGGCCCTGTTCGAGGCAGGGCTTGCAGGCAATCTCGATGGCGATCCAACCGAGAACCACTCCCACTATCGCAATCACTGAGGTCGTTATCGCCCCCATTTTCTTCTTCTTCTGCCTTCTCCGCGGTTCTGCTTCGTCGATTCTAGGGTCTCACCCTCGAGTCTCAACTCACAACGGTGTCGTTTTGTTCATTACGCCAACGAAGGGTATATTTGATAAAGCGACCTCGCTGGGCCACACTCCGCACCACGTAACCCTCGTCTAAGCCCATTTAGCAAGGCCTCTATAGGAAATGACGTGAACATGTGTTTTTTTTTTTTTTTTTTTTTGGCAAAAAACGTTAAGTTAGTTGGTTAAATCAGTGTTCACTTTTAGAAACCAAGTTCGAATCATTCATCAAAAGAAAAGAGGCGATCCTAGTCTTATTCTTTTTCGCACTGAAAAATGGTCTCTATGCACCCAAAAATCATCTACGAAAATTGTTTCTGTGTGCTCGAAAATAGTGTCCATATGCTTGAAAATGATCTCGACACCCAGAAAGGAATTAATTTTTCGCATGCGCATTTTCTCCTTCTAAATACTTTCCGCTCATTTATGTCTCGTAATTCTCTTCTAATTTGTTTACCTCAAAATACAAGCGTGCATAAGTAAAAAGTGTGCAGAATTCACTTCTCAAGAATCCCTATCCACCCTAATGTATAAGGACAAAAGACAGAGCGGCGTTGAGTCTTGCTCCTGGGGTAAGCTAGTACACAGTAAAAATTTAGGAAAGGAAAGAATCATTTACAGTTTACTATTTTTTTAACGTTGAGGTACCATTCACGCTTTGTTTTCAGTAACATAGGCACTTTGTTTCACAATAGCCCCACAAATTATATCCCGTTTCCGAAGATTCTAAAGTACATAATGTATGATATCCATTGCTCAATTTAATGATCAGATATGCACTAAAAAGTTAAGAGAATTTAACAGGCAAATCTGAGCCACTTAAAACGCAATGTATATTATACAGTGATGTATAGTAGGACTCTTGAGTTTCTTCTACATTTCTATTTTTAGTAAATAACCAACATTCACAAAACGTACCCATCCCTTGTTTCATACGCCTTTTCCTCTCTCTCATCACATGAGTAGTCACGTGATGAGAGAGAGATAAGGAGAGGCGTATGAAACAAAGGATATAAAGGTTTCTTGCCTCACAGGACTCTTCGACTCCAAGCTGTACGTTAACTGGTTTCCACCAGCTGTTCCTCTGTGTTTTGGTGTCCTTTTCAACTCCAAATCCAGCTCTTCTCAACCATAAATGCTCCGTTAACCCCCAGGTACTGAACAATCCTGCAACTCAATTAAGGGCATGGTCCTCTCTAAGTTTGGTTCAAGGACAGCTGTATACCTACCTTCACCCTTTTCTTCGACGCTCACACAGCTTCTTGAGCAATCCAGATGCCAAAACCATTAAATGTAAAGCGCTGAAATATCCGATGCAGATGCCACGAAAGCAACTCGTCCAAGGGTTTACTAAAACTGCATACGAAAACAGTCGCAAACCTAAGAAAGTCATGGAAGGATTACGTAAACCTGGTGTTTAGGTTGGAGGAATCTAAGCAAACCATGTGACCACAATAAGGAGCAAAAGTAGCTAGCTCAATCGAACCCTATGGTCACGGGCAAGATGCAGTTAAGGAGAGATGACTAACAATCTGCATTAGTAAGAGGAGCAGCGTATTTAAATTAATCTCGCGATAAACAGTATATCAAGTTCATCCGAAAACATGGGGATAATATCAAGGGTATCCAAGAAAGAGTAAAATAGTCTACGCAACAAACAATGAGAAATCAAGATAAGAGAGGAAGAGAAACCAAACGGTGAACAGCCATATAAACAGAGGAAAAACAACCGTATACTTAAATACATTCCAATAACACATAACCATTTTACGCACGTCCATTAGCTTTTTATAGCTACGGTATTTTATATAACCAGAACTTATTCAAGGACATACAAAGTGGCAGAACATGAAATGAGAGATTGACAAGCTAAGCAAACAGGACCTGCGAACTTGAGGGCGTCAAGTCAGAGAAGCAATCCGGTGCATCAACCACATTCCATCGAACACCAAAGCTCCACTTCTTCTCGCAAGTTCCTTTACGGCTAACCCTTGAGATTTGACCCACAGCAACATGAAGGTTCTTGCCCACAACATATATCATGCAATCACAGGCATTGACAGCAAAGGGTTTACAGATCTGCTCTGGCAAAGGGGGCCCTTCTATTGGTTCCCAGGAATCAGTATCCGCATCATAAACCTTAAGCTTCATCCTTTCAAGCTCTGAGACCACAAACAAATGGCCACAAATCACCACACTTGAACCTGTCCAGCCTTCTCTCAGTCCGACAGCCATGCTCTCCCAATTATTAGTTCTCGGATCATAAACCTGACCCCTGGGAGAGACAAAGAAAGGCCACAACCAGCCTTCTGTAACAAGAAGCTTTCCGTTGAGAACTGCTGCATCATAAGAGGCCATATTTGCTCCCATGCTAGCTATGGGATGCCAACTCCCTTTAACGGGGTCCAAAACCTCGGCTGAGTCAAGCTCAAAAAGATCTGAGCTGTTTCCTCCAGCCACATAAATCTTCCCATCAATAACTCCACTTGCGAAAAAAGACCTCGCACTTATCATCTGATTTATTACAGTCCACCGATTCTTCTGAACTTCATATTTCAGGACCAAGTCAAGCGGACAGTCCACATCAGAGACCATACCACCGCAAATAAAGAGAGTTCCTTCGTGGGGCATCGATACACATCTGAATCCATGGGGAAAAACTTTGTCTCTGCAAGGCATGGCAGGGATAGTGTGCCAAGAGAAATTAGTGAGATCAAGAACCTGCCATTGAATCCTTCCAGTGCACTTGTGAAAGGCAAAGACAAAAAGCCAAGGGACTTTGAAGCCTAATTCTTTTCTTCGAGTAAAAAACCGCTCTTTACTACCAAACATTAGATGCCAACGCTTGCAGACAGCTTTGCTTGCTGTGTGGCCTTCGACTGGAACCCGAAGGAGACAGTTAAGTGCAACATCATCAGGAAGGCCAGGAATGAGGGGGGTTTCCTCAAGAGACAGCTCTAACTCCGGGGAAGGATTCAACAACGAAGACTGGATAACCGCTAATCTAAACTTCGGGGATAACGCAATCTGAGAATCCCCTAGCTTGTGCACCGGCGCCTGTTGGGAGGACAGTCTAACCCGTTGCATCCTACCCCCCTTTGAGCAAAATATACAAAACCCTTGCTTTAAATGCAACTTAGTTCCTATATTTCGTCTCCGATAATCTTACGAAGAAAAGCACTTATCTTCCACAGGTTTTGTGCAAACAAAGCAATCCCAATATCCAAATTTACAGAAGCAAAGCCCTTTGCATGATCACAATCTAAACATCCAAACTTCTACTCACATTTATGAACAAAAAAACATGAACTTTTCCTCTCTATATACACCGCAGCCATTGTAGCCAATCAGAACACCAAATTCAGAACCAAAAGCTACGAAATTTCATCCCACTGATTAAAAAAACAGAAAACACCCAAATTTCACAATCACTCATAAAACAAAAATACCTCAAAAAGCAGCTCAAAATCCAATCTTTTGTCCTTTAATGCAAACAAATCCAACCAAAGACAAAAGCCCAGTTCGGAAATCACACAGAATCAAACTTTCTGTGACCTTTTCAGCTTCAACATTCACCAAACACTAAACCCAGAAGAACACAAACAATCTGTACAGCTTGTGAACATAAGCAGCATAGGAGAGCGAAAGAAGGAAGAGAGAGAAAGTGGTAAGGGGAACAAGGACTTACAACCAGAAAAGGGTTGAAAGATTGTTATACAAAGATGGTGACTTGATAAGATTTAGAGAGGCTTTTTTTTTTTTTTTTCATTTGCAAGGAAGAGAAGGAACATGGTTCTTTGATTCTGGATTAAGTAATAATTACGCGCCAAATCAGCGAGGTAATTACGCATGAGAGTGAAAAGATGCGGAATTCTTTTGATATAAGTTGGAGAGTGATGTGCACGCTCCTTAATGAAAGTGGAGTAAGTTGCAGACTCACTCTTAGAATATTGAAAAGGAGATTGACTACAAAATAAGATTAAGATTAAGATAAATGATAAAACCCTTGTTAATGCGTGTTTTTATGCTTGAAATGTTGTGTTTGATAAAGAATTTTGTTTTAAGTTCAATTCTAGAAGCCTGCATATTTATTTTAGTTCTACTTATCTTTGTAGTTATTTGATTTTTTTTTTTTGTTTCCGAACTTTTGACTTAACCTAATCATAACGCATAATTATCTTAAGAGTTTGAACATTTCAGTTCGTTTGAGCTACAAATATATGTTATTGTATATCTTGCTAATTAACAAATAAGCGAGAACGAGTGTGTTATGTAATTTTGGACGAAGACCTATTAGAATGAAAGTTATGACATCATATTAGACCTATTATTAAAGTTAGAGGTGAAATCAGCTCAAAATAGCTTGAATTTGCATTTATTCATGCTAGTGTTTGATGGAAGAAATTTGACCACTTATGTGTTAAACTAGTAATCCATTCATAAAATAAAGTGCCCTAAAATAAAATAGAATAAGTTCTCAACTTTATATCTTATAAAGTCCCATATATTATTCTCCTTTGCTAGGAAGATAAGAATTTTGCTGTGATTAAACCTTGGAGGTACCACAATGCTAAAGGAGAAAGATACCATCATTCACTTTTAACAAAATGAGAAAGAAAGGGAACCATCACGGGGAGGTTTAATGGTCGAGGTGAACTTTAGGTTCGTATTCCACATGACTGGTTTTGAGTTTGATTATTGTCACTCGTGAATCATATGATAGTGGTTAGATGAGAACTGAAATGTCTCTGTGAATCTTCCCGACTCCTGACTAGTCCCTAAAAAAAAATAAAAAAGAAGAAGAAGAGAAAAGGGATGTCTCCTCTAAACGGAAGAAAAGAATTTTGCAGTCATCAAACCTTGGAGGTACCACAATGCTAAAGGAGAAAGTTACCATTATTCTATTTTAACAAAAAGAGAAGGAAGGAACCACCATGAGGTGGTCCAGTGATTGAGGTAAATTTCAAGCTGGTATTTTACAAGATTGGTTCTGGGTTCGATTTTTGATGCTTGTAAATCACACGATGGTAGCTAAAAAGAGGCTGGAACGTTTCTGTAAGTGATCTTGACCCCCAAAAGAGTGTCCTGTAGTAACTTTGCCACCAACTGATTCCACTTTTTGAAAAAAAAAAAAAAAAAAGAAGAAGAAGAAGAAGAAGGGGAATGTCTCATTTTAACCAAAAAAGAAAAAGATAGAAAAGTGGTGTTTACATCCTTTGCTATAATAATAAAAGGTTAGGAATATCCAATAAGTTTATGATAAATAAATTGAGAGATACGTTTAGTATTTTTTTTCTCTTCAAGAGATGATTGAAAACGAAAGAAAGACAAATGGGAATCAAACCGAATTTTATTTTATTTTTTGGGAAAAATGATGGTCGCCGTGTTTTATTTTGCCATCTGAACTTCCAGTTTAATTCTAAAACTGCTTTGCACTTTTAATTCATGCAGATGTCTCTCGACGTTGGTTTGTTCAGTTACACCGATAAATTGTTGGTCATTTTTTGTTTATTTTATTCTTATTTCTTTCTCATCGCTTAGTTATCAAAATTCCAAGCGTTTATTAAGTTACGTTGTAAAATTACATTCTTAAAAGTTTTCACGTGACTACATTTCATAAAATTAGCAAAAAATTGTAACAAAATTGAGGTTGAGGTGTTGGTTTGTGAAAAAAATCGAGAGTTTATGGAGAAGCGAAACAAGTTCCTCAATTCATGGAGCATTGCTAGATTTTTTCTTTTAATTTTGGGTAGTGCCATTCAGTATTCACACCCCTTTTGTACCTTCCGCACACATTTATTAATTTTTGTCTATTGATCTTCTTCATTACATTTGATCGACCAACCGAAAATTAAGAAGAGTGAGAAGTAAAGTAAGTGTCTGGATAGCACCACACTAGATTTTAGGTGTGTCTAGTTTGTATTGTTGGGTTTAGTTTGGTCCAAGTCGCATAACCATCACACAATCAATGAGGGTATGAGATGGAGGGCTAATGGCCATGCAATGAGCATGGATTTTTTGAATCCCAATCCCTTTGAAGTCCAACCAATTCACGTCACTACATTTGTTGTTTGGAGGCACGTCATTTTTCAACCTCCTACACTGCAATTCCTATGATTCCTAATCCTCCTTGCTGGATCGGATACTTCTCTTTGCAAAACAGACCCAAGTTTGCAGACACTTCAAAGAAAAACACATGTTGGGTTTGCTGATTTTGGAAAGATAAAATAGGCAGATAGGAACCGTCACCAAACCGAACCACATTGTTAATAATCTGGTTATGTTAAAAAAAGAACCGAGTAACTATCTAAGCAACCGGTGCCTCTCATTCGTGAGAAAACTTGGCTATCGTGGGTTCAAACACTCACGTTTTCTGTGTCTCTCATCACCTGACATGTCGTTATGAGAGAGAGAGAGAGAGAGAGAGAGAGAGAGAGCAAAATTTCCTCCCACCCAATTCTCGCCATACTCCACCGCATATGATAAATTTCCAAAGAGAAGCTATAGCTTGTCTTGACAGAAGACTGCAACTGCTCATTAACATCCTTGATCATGATCTGCAATCTACGCATAAACAGAACAACCTCCAATCGACAAAGAAAGAAAAAGAAATGCAGCAGTAAGATTCCTGCAATGATTCCATAAAAATAATGCAATGAAGGTCTAAACACGATTCTGTACAGGGGAAAAACAGCAATAAGAATGCTTACGTGGTCGAATTTAGACTCCCAAATGAGTGTTATAGCTCCATTTGCTATCTCATATGCCACTGCATTCTTCTCTCTATAAACATGTAGTGTTCAAATTGCTGCATAAAAAAATCTGCACTTCAAAGGGGGTGACAGCGGAAGCATTACCTTGCTTCATCAATTTGAAAATAATAGCGAAGTCCACCTGAATACATCTTTTAGTGCTTTTCTTCTAAATTGGAAACTGCAAGCCAAAATGTATCTCCAGATTTCTGCGTCAATATGCCCTGCCAAGATTGGATTAAATAACTTTCACTGCTCCAAATCCACCAGATGCCATTCTCCTCGGCGCATCAACATTCATATTCTGACATCCCATGTCAGGAGGCTCTCATGCCAGACAGACCTGTTCTTCCAATTGGTTTTTGAGAACAGCGGAAGTGGCGTCCAGCCAACCTCTGACAGATACCGACATGTGCAGATAAAAAGGCTACTCCCTTCAAGACTATCACACTACAAGCATACAAGACTTATAATCCAAATAAAAGGAGTAACAAACTGGTTTGCCACTCTGATGTCTCCCAAATGGTTTGAGCTCTGCTTCAATCTCTCAAAATATGAAATATAGATCAATGGGCCAATGCCGTAGTTGGCATACAGCAATTTTCCCACAGAAGCTCCAGCAAGAGCCAGGCCGTTGGTCCCCATCAAAGAACAGGCCATATGCAGACACTAAAGTGAACATTTCAAGTGTCCCCCATAGATGTATATCACTGACATGTCCAATTAAAACCAGCAGGATCACCAGTAATAGTCGCACCAAATTTTCTGCGGGCATGCAACAGCAAAATGTTTAAGAATTCAAAATAACTAGCATTTCTGAGAGTGCAAGGACCATATGTCACTTACCGATAAGGTACTTTTGTCCACTGTACAACCCTATTCAATAACAGAAATAAATTTGTTGTGATAATCTTGTTGCTTAGTAATCATGTAAGGTAAATCAGGCAATTACATGCATTGTACAAGATAGTACAGAAAGAGGGATACGAAGACTTGAAAACCTTATCATATTCAGGATAACAATGTATAAGACAACAATAATGCAAGATGATCTTAAGGCTTAAGCAAGTTCGAGTGGATCGATTACTCCGCCAGACTTATAAACCAAAACTGAAGGTGCAGACTATAGTTAGTAATAAAGTACAGAGGCACACCACAGTATCTCAGTCTATTTCCTAAACACAATACATTTACTTCGAGGATGAAAAAGAAACAGAATAGTGCAGGTATAGAATGAGTAAAAATATGAAATCATTAATGAAAATAAAAAATTAAGATTTCTTTTCATTTTAAAGAGGGAGAGGGAGAGGGAGAGCTCATGTTCTTCTATCAAACCCATATTTATTTATAAATATTCACTACTTACAAATACATTGAATAGATAAAGCAACAAATTAGAGATTGACCTAGACTTATCTGGCCTTCCAATTTAACATAAAAGTTATTTGTGACCCAAAAAAGGAGTTTTCATCTTTAGAAGCTCTTCCGAGGCTGATCTGTTCCATGATCACTTAGGGTTTTGTAATATAGCTGAAGCAAAGCTACAGACTGTAGCAAAAGATAAAGATCTGTTTGGCTTTCCTCTTTCGCATTAGAAGCTATTCTTGACCCGGAAAGGCAATTCTCTGAATCTTTAAAAAGAAGAAGCTCTCTCTCCAGAGGCTTTTCTCTTTCCATTGACAGTGAATTCATGATCTCAGCGCTTCCTCCTCCTCCACCAAACCAGTGTCCGTTACCTCCTATAGAGTTTAAGGCAGTTTTGTCTTATACAGACCAATTCACCTTGGCCTGAAGATTGATAGAGATGTGGAGGCTTATCTGTTTCCATTGACAACTCAGAGTTGATCTTAGGCCTTTTTATTGCATTCATCATCTCAGCACTTCCTCTGGCTGCATAAGGACCACCGCTTCCTTTTCTCAGAGGTTAAGACAGTCTTTGTCTTACACCGACCAAATTCACCTTGGCCAGAAGATTGACTGGGATGTGGAGGCAAGGAACCACCAGTTTGAGGTTCCTCGAAGCCAGGTGACTAATTTGAGCCATGACCTGAATCAAGATCAGTTACAGCTTTCGCAAGATATGAAATCATACCATCAATGTGGCCTTGAAGGTATGGCATACCATCCGTAAAAGATTGAAATCAATCCTTATTAAGCTCACAAACTCCATTTATGACATAAGAGAATAATGGGCTGGAAGGGACACCAGTTGGTACTGCGCTACCAGAGGAAGCAGCCATAAAGGATAAAGGTTTAGAATCTGGGATTTCATCATAGCCACTGCTAGATGAAAATTTTGGAGGCATGGCGCTTGTATTGGTCTCATAGGCCCTCACATTCACCCGGCTATTTTGATTTGAGTCGAATCTCGTGGAGAAATTCAAGGGAGAGGTTAACTTACTGATGAGATTACTTGGATGCTGAAAGGAGGAGCATTGCAAGTCGTATTTGTCGAGTTGTTGAAATGGCTAGCATAAATCTAGCTCTTCTTTACCCTAAGATGGCCCAGATGGCCCTCTAGAGCCTGACGATTTTGTAACACCCTTTTGCAATAGAAGCAGTGGACACTGACATGTTTGTTTGCCTTTTATTTCTTAGGAGTTAAAAGGACATTCATTCTTGAAGTGAAAACGGCAACCCTTAACAAGAGCCTTGAGAAGAAGAACTTAAAAACTAGGCAAAAGCAATGAAGGGGTAAAGAAGATGCCTTGCTTCTTTGCCTGTTATATCCATGTGTGGGGATGCTACAAAACCTATTGATAAATTAAAATATTCGGAAAACGACAATTCTCATAAAACTCATTTAAGAAAAGAAGACACGTTACACAAATACGACCAAAATAGTTGCCACGTAAAGCTCATGTAGAGGAAATTTTAAATCAATCTTATCAGCAAAGCTCATACTGCTTAAGTAAAAAAAAATGTGCATGAAGGATGAACACGTGCAAAACAAATGCCCTTGAACTATAATTAATACACATTCTTATAACAAGGTCATGAAACATGTCAGTATCGATTTTGCATCAGTTAAGGGGTAATATAAGAAATTTCATCTCGCAGCAAAATATGGTATTGTCGTAAACTCACATAAGAAATGGTCTTCACCATGACATTGAGTCACCTTTTTCAATTTTGTATTTTTCTGCAAGATACAAAATCCAATACTAACTGATGTAAACAGTGACAGGTTGTTTCATGACACCCTATTATAGAATGTGTAATAATTATATATCTATTACGTTTGTTCTTCAACGTGTTCACCGCCCATGCAATTTATTTTTCTTAAGTATTAATAACTCTCTTTCATGCAGATTCTTACCGATAAGGTACTTTTCTCCACCGTACAAACCTATTCAATAATAGAAATAAATTTGTTGCAATAACCTTGTTGCTTAATAATCATGTAAGGTAAATAAGGCAATTATATGCATTGAATAGATAAAGCTACAAACTAGAGATCGATCTATACTAATTTGGCCTTCCTATTACGCATAAAAGCTATTTGTGACCTAGAAAGGAGTTTTCATCTTTAGAAAGCTCTTCCGAGGCTTATCTGTTCCATGGTCACTTAGAGTTTTGTAATATAGCTGATACAAAGCTATAGATATAGTGAGAGATCAAAATTTGTTTGGCTTTCCTCTTTCGCATTAAAAGCTATTCCTGTCCCAGAAAAGCAGTTCTCTGAATCTTTAAAAAGAAGAAGCTCTCTCTTTGAAGCTTCTCTCTTTCCATTAACGATGAATTCATGATCTACATCACTTCCTCCTCCTCCACCAAAGCAGTGTCTGTTACCTCTTACAGAGTTCAAGGCAGTTTGTGTCTTATACAAACGATGTGAATTCATGATCTGACCTTGGCCTAAAGATTGATAGAGATACGGATGCTTATCCGTTTCAATTGACAACTCAGAGTTGATCTTAGGCTTTTTTAGTGCATTCATCATCTTAGATGTTCCTTTGGCTTCACGTAAGCACTGCTTCCTTTACTCAGAGGTTAAGACAGTCTCTGTCCTACACCGACCGATTTCACCTTGGCCAGAAGCTTGACTAGGATGTGGAAGCAAGGAACCACCAGTATAAGGTTCCTTGAAGTCAGGTGACTGATATCAGCTAAAACTTGAATCAAGATTAGTTACAGCTTTCACAAGATATGAAATCACACCATCGATGTGGGCTTGAAGGTATGGTGTACCATCCGTAAATGATTGGAATTGATCCTTATTAAGCTCACAAACTCCATTTATGACAAAAGAGAATAATCGATCCATTTGTGTAACGTATCTTCTTTTCTTAAATGAGTTTTATGAGAAATGCCATTTTCCGAATATTTTTATTTATCAGTAGGTTTTGTATCATCCCGCACATGGTATAACAGAGGAAAGAAGCAAGTATCTTCCTCACCGTTTCATTGTTTTTGCTCCTGCTAGTTTTTGTCTTCTTCTTCTCAAAACCCTTTTTAAGGGGCGCCATTTTCACTTCAACAATGAATTTCCTTTTAACCCATAAGAAAGGAAAGGCAGAGAAACATGTGGGTGTCCACTGCTTCTATTACAAAAGGGTGAATATGACACGTAAAGCTTATGCAGTGGAAACTTTAAATCAATATTATCGCCAAGAATTTGCATGGAGAGCTCATACTGCTTGAGAAAAAAATTTGCATGGACAATGAACATGTTGCAGAATGGTCATGAAACATGTCAATACCGCTTTTGCATCAGTTACGAAGTAGTATTGCAAATTTCATCTCGCAGAAAAATATGGTATTGGCGTACACTCACATAATGGTCTTGACTATGACATTGAGTCACCTTTCTTAATTTTGTATTTTTCTATGAGATAAAAAAATCCAATACTAACTGATGCAAAAGCAGCAGTGATAGATTGTTTCATGACACCCTATTATAGAATGTGTAATAATTGAGTTCTATTACATTTGTTCTTCAACGTGTTTGCTGCTCATGCAATTTTACTTTTCTTAAGCATTAATGACACTCTTTCATGCAGGTTGTTGGCGATAAGATTGATTTAAAGTTTTACTGCATAACCTTTATGTGACAACTTTTTTTATCCTATTAAGCATTAACAGCTCTCCTAGATCAATCTCTATATTTGTAGTTATCTATTCATTGTATTTGATATTTATATAGATTATAGACATAGGGTTTGATAGAAGGACATGAGGTCTCCCTCTCTGAAATAAAAAAGAAATCTTCATTTTTTTTTCTTTTCATTAACGTCTTCATATTTTTATTAATTCTATATCTGCACTTTCAGTTGTCTACCAATGAATTTATTTCTTCCTTTTCCTTATATCTCTTTTCTTCATTAAATTTATTATAATTTTTTTTTAAATGTTGGATTACAATGAACAATGCAATTAGAAGAATATTATCAAGTGGGTTGCATTATGTTAAGGAATCAAGGGTTTGAGGACAAAACTAAATGTAATAGCTTATGACAACAAAATTACACAATTGGAAAAGATGTCCGCAAAGAAAACTCAAAAGAGAATCAGCGAGACAACAACTAAAATCCCCCTCGCTATGGAAACTCAGAAAGCTAACTGATAGAAGCTTTCCAATCAAGCCAAACTACGGAAAAGGACAAATCTTTAAAATTTATAGAAACCGACGCTCACAACGAAGACCATACTCTTTAAACAAAACAAAAAACGTAAAATTAAAATTCAAAACCACACATACCTTTGCTTCACCTGTTGCTGAAGCCATAAAGCCCCTTGTTTCACGCCATTCATTACTCCTGGAACATTAAGCCAAAATAACATCATTTTCACATGAATGGTAAGCATCATACCTAGTTTTTGCACAGCTTCTTTTAAGGGTAAGTATATACCTATCTTTTTGCGCCTAAATGGCATACAAAGGATGTCAAAATCTTACCCAAAACCATAACAAGCCCAAGCAGTTGGGTTTTGAGTAGTTCTCTTCAACATCATTGATGATGTAAAACAGAAAAGGACAAAAATAAAAATAAATAAACAAATAAACCGTAAACGCCTTTCAAAATGCTGAGCTTGAACCATTTTGGGTTGGACTCAAATTTTTTTCAGTATTCTTTTCAAGACCATTTCGAATGTTCAAGTGGTTTCAGGTACTATACTTGAAATCTTTTTCAGCAGGCTCGGAAGGCTTCATATAAAGTACTTCAAAACCATGTTTACATTTTTTTTTTCGTTTCAGCTACATTACTTGAAGATATGTCAAGCTAGTTTCAAAGCTTAATAAAAAGTGTCAACGAAAACATGAAAAGTTTACAACAGTTGAAAAGACGATAATGCATTCTCTACATAATAAATGACTACAGCAACTTCAGGCCTATTCGTGTCCCAATTCTAGGTAGCAAACTCACTTTCGAAATTGAGATGAAGAGTAATAGCGTTGTTGCAGGTTTTACGGTAATGACCAGTTGAGCCACATTTTCCACAATTCCGTGTAGACTGTTCTTCTCCATGAGACTTTTTTTTTTTTTTTTGGTTGAGATGAAAATCTTTCCTTCTTGCACCTTTCGCATGACCTCCATTTAGAAGAAAGTTCTTGTGGTCATACCCTAATATCTTTCAATGCACATTCAAAGACCCTCCTAGCTGTCGAATAACTTATATCCACTCCAAGATCTTTCCGCACATCCTCAATGGTATTTTTCGGTTTGCATTGGCACAAAACACGCTTGTACTTTGACTTTACAAACTCACCAATGAGAGAGCTGCTTGCTTGTGGTTGACTGCCATTTTTAGCATCTACTGAACCGCCATTTTTAGCATCTGATGAACAAGAGTGGCGGCTATCATATTTTGTTGTCATAAAATAATCAGCCTCGCGACTTGGTCGCATGGACTTTCCATATGCAGTTGTCATTCACGCAGTTCAACAATTCTCCAATTTGATTGGACATGTAAGTGATTAAAACGCTCTGAATACCAATCTGGGCCAGGATCGGACTGGTCGGTGGCCGAACAAAGCCAGTAACACACAAAAGAACACACTTTTAGACAAGGTATGATTTGCAGATGAATAAGTTGTTAACTGGGATTACAATGTTGCGCATAGATAAATACACAACACCAATGCAAAAAAGTACATAAGAATGCAACCGATTATACAACTTATGTTAACCCAGCTCTTAGATGTGCAAAAACAAGGCAAGAATTGTCATTGGCTACAACCAAGATAAGTTCTTCCATCATGGAAGAGCTTTTGCAAGCAAAGTTGATGCTTTGGGAACAATGTAGCTCGTGATTTATGCCCAATTCCAATGGAAATGGATTGAGTCGGCCAAATTATTGAAATTTTTTTTTCGAGTGAGCTCATCAGGCTGAGAAGAATCCCTAAACCCTAGCTTAATTTACAGCACAAGGTTTCATTTGTTTTGGTACATATAGGGGAGCAAAATTCCTAAATCAAATCGATTGCATAATTTAATCCAACAAAACCAAAATTTAACATCAATAAAGCGTAAGAATTTTACCAACGGCGAAAGCTACAGAGTGTTGCTGACGATGGCCGCGGTGTCGCCCGCGGCGGAGCTGACGGAGGCGTTTGGAGAGTTCTGAGCATGGAGCAAGCTGTTGTACGACGGGTGTCGAGTGAGGTGCCAAGGCCTGGCGGATTTTAGATCAGTGGTGTTGGAAATGGATATACATTGAACCTCGGGGGTATCGACTTGGGCCTGGCGGGCCCATGAATAACTTTTTCCCATTTGGATTACAAATTATTGGCCCATTTTTGGAAACCTGTGGAATTTACTCAACACACCCTCTCTTTAGAAAGTATGGAAGTACTATGTCCCATTCGTCATATTCCGAGCAAACAACCTGAATTGGATTGTAGAAATAATTTTCTTTTTTATTATATTGGAGGGTTTCGAACTCTAGGCCTGCTCCTGTCCACCACAATACTCGTCTTACGAGAGATTTTTCTATGTTAATGGAACACAGCTCGATACACCACGTGTCATGATACAAGTAAAGGGATACCTGATGTACCGTGTCGTTTTCTAAACACACTGAAAAATCTCTCCATCCTTACCAAAGTCTAATCCTAGTGGCTTAGATTGTATAAATAATTGACAAATAGAACAGTTGGAATTCATAGTTCCACTATTACCCTTTTGTGTCAAATCACCAAAGCCATGAACCATACAAACACAACTAGGGATGGGCAAATACCCATTAGTTATGGGTAACTGCGGTTATCCGCCCATTTAAATTTGACGGTTACGGTTATGGGTAACCGTTTAGATAAATAAATGGTTATGGGTATAACCGTTTATCCGTGAAATTTAAATGGGCGGTTATGGGTATTACCCGCTGTTATAAACAGGTACCATTTAACTGTTTATTTTAATATATGTAAAACTAAAAAGAAAAAAAAGAAAAAAATTAGTTTCTAACTAGGTTTAATATCCTGAGAAATGGTTATAAAGGGCCATATAATATATATATATATATATATATATTTTTTTTTTTTTTTATGCCTCACTTGAGAGAAAAATATAGTTGATAGAACAGGCTAATGTTTAATATATGTGATTAAATGTGCTAAAGCATTAGTGTTCGACATTTTTGTTTTGGAGTCTTTTGGAGCTTTGACCAATTAAAGATAATGATTACCTTGAGCATTTAAAAACATGTTATTATTAGATGATGCGTACCTATATATATATATTTAATTGGCCTCGAGTTTTCAATAAATATTTGATCCCAAAATTAGAAATCGATTAAAGGGCTTGGATCGATGAACATATGTTTCTAAATAAAAATCCAAATATTTATCAAATTAGCCTATTAGCAGATTGATGCGCACTTACATATATATGTATGTATACAAGAATATTAATTAACCTACAACCATGCATGATTTTTGTAATAGATTGACCGTCAAATAATTGGGAGACATTGCATATATTCATAAATAATATTGCCATTAATATAAAAATACATGTTAAATGTACTTATAACGGTATTTAATAGTTAGAAAAAAAGAAAATTATGACAAATTTCTTTTTAATTTTCAAGTTGTTAAAAAATAGGTAGACAGGTAAAAACAAAAAAGTAAACGGGTACGCGGTTATGGGTAAATGGGTATGCGGTTATGGGTAAATGGGTATACGGTTATGGGTATGGTTAACCGTTTATAAACAGTTATGGGTATGGGTATACCCATTTATGTAAATACTCAATGGGTAAACGGTTATGTGGGTAAAAGCTTAAACGGCTATGGCTAAATAATCGCGGTTACCTGCCCGCCATAACCGTTGCCCATCCCTAAACACAACCCCAAATGTAGAGTAGGCCCTCTCTAATAATTAGGCTATATTGTTGGTGATAAAGAAAGTTTAACATGCATAGAGACGAAATATCAAGGACAAGGGTTTTGGGTGTAGGACCAACTGCTGTTTTACGTGGTTCAGAGTGGCATCAGGTTTATTCAATTGGGTAGGCCCATGGACACACAAGTTGCTTCTTTGTTTGTTTCATTGTTTGTTTTACTCCAAGACCAAACCAGGGCCCAAGTGAGGCCATTGCAGACTTGCAGTGCTAGATTTCAGTATTAATCGGAATACAGAGCAGTACGCTTATATGGTGTTATATAATTGTAGAGACGTATGACATATTGTTTCGTGTTTCGATCACATTGAAAAATCTCTCATTGTGCTCTATCTTGCTAACCCATCAGAGTTGTTGAGTGCTCTCACAAAATGAAGATCAATTCAATGTGATACATATATGTTAGTTTTATAATTAATCAATTAATCATGTTCGTTCTTCACAATCCATAGTTAATTTGGATTACTTGATACTATGGCAAATTACTTACCAAGTTTTTGTGTCTTAGGCATCAAAATCTGGTTGAAATGATTTGCGAAGTGATCTGACACCACACTGTGGATATTTATATATTTACGTTGCATCCAATTCATGCTTTTACAACTAATTCAAAAACGTCCTTCAAACTAGTGATGATAAATACGAGCATGAAACTCTGTCAACCCCATATTTGTTCTTCTTTCCGTCTCAGAAAATATAATCCACCAAATTTATTGGTAATGTTGCGTACGCGCAATATACTTTATAATAACGACAAGTCTTTTCAATTACGCACCTACTCTATTAACATATCAAAATTTGGTTCAATTGAACTAACTTTACGTTGAACTCTACAAAGTGGAAGTCAATTTCACCTTGTATGATGTGTCTTTGTTGCTTCTAGTCCTGAATCACTAAGATCTCCTATTTGGGATTGGAAAAGCCCCTCCAAAAGAATGGAAAATTTGCAATTGTATTTGTATAAAAAATCAGTAATTATAATTTTCAATAACCTAAGTCCTAAACCTGAATTCCAAGGCACATGCAAATTCTCCTAATTTTAATTACGATAAAATATATATTGCTTGCATGTACATTGTACAACCTATTATAGGTATGCAAAACCGTAGAAAAACCATATCCAATTCCCTTCTTAGCTATGGATGCAATTCTCTGGCAATCTACACTTTGGGTTTAGGGTTTAGGGTCATTGCAATGGAGACCATGGGGAGACCATTGACCCAATTTATCCACTGTTTTAAGGTTTTGGGTTTCAACGAATCAATTTCATAATGCAGTCCATGATCATGATCACATCAAATTGTACTTCTGATAAATATAGTAATTAGTAAGTTCATTGATTTGGCAAACTACATACGTAACTATAATTTCTGAGCAAATGTGGGTAAAAAGTTCCATCCTTTTTGTAAAGGATAAAGAATTTCTTTGGTGAAAGTGGTTGTATAAGTGGAAAATTGGCATGGACTTTAGGGAAAAATTGGAAAATTGGCATGGAGTATATATTGATGAGTTTGCACGAATTGAAGTTTCTGCAAGTGGAGAGAGAGAGGACTCTATATCGATCTCATTGATTATTTTGGGGATGGTGAGTCTGATGACAACATGACATGGAAAATAATTTTCACACATTTTTTTCTTTCTCTTTTTAAGAGACAATTGTAAGCAAAAATGTATTAAAAAGAGAAACATATTGAAGGTGCATAAATCATTTTCCATTCTTCAAGTGCATAGAGGACTATCGATCTCATTAATCGGATTATATATGTGGCTTCCTTGCCCTAGGCAGCATGTTGCCTGTGGGGTGTGTGGTTTATCGCTGTTTTTGCCAGTTGTATATTAATTATATGGTGCAGCCACATCAGATGTTGATGTGGGATTTCTTCGACGTTTTTACGCCTAACTTGGTTGCTCCACAATGCTCGGGTCCAGTTAGAAATACATACCATCATCAACACTTCTTGTCCCAGCTTGGCAATAACGCAAGCAACTTATAGTCACACTTTTCTCCTGAAAATTTTCTGCCCGCCACTTGCATATCTACGACCCAAAACATGCATGCATATTGTGCGGCTCAAAAACACATTGACCACATATAAAGCATTTGTCCAATAATTTAAGTTTGTCAGCATGAGTATATTACTTTGCACATATATTTGAGTTAATGATCAGCATATATATGTAGGAACTGTATAAAGAAGTATAAATGGTATCTTATGATTAGAGGTGGAGCTATGAAGGAACCAAGATGCTCCCATATCCATCCTGACTTTTTTTTACGTAAGAAAGTTTAGTGTTATGCCTATGATTTTCAAGGTTGTCCATGGGCTTAAGGCTCCAATATGACGTTTTTACTTTGATTTTTTTCATCGTGTTTGATTTGATATTATCATATTGGTGGCTCCCATGGAGTGCAAGCAATCCGTTGCTTGTGAGCTTGAGAAGGACTTTGGTCTGCAATCAGTGAAGGGAGAGAGGAAGAAAGTCAGAGAGAGGCTTGGAGTTTAGGTTTAAAGAAGGTGATGATGAAGATGATACCATACCAGGCCCAAACAACATTAGTTGGTTGCTCACCACATTGCAGAGTAATTTTTATACGATCAAAAGAGCTTTTCAGATTGAGACCTTTGGACCCCTCCTAGGTTAAATTTTTGGCTCCACCATTGCAACTAATTAAGTTAATTTTAATAAGTTAGTTTCAGGTTAGGTTGAATAAACGTGTGGGGGCAGTAAGCCCTATATATCTTGACTCATGATTTATGTCTTCCAACCCCACTTGCCTAACTTGAATATTAAGATACTTAGAGTTTCTGTTCCCAGATATGCTTTAGATATCATTGGTCTGGTTCATGCACCTGAACGAGTACTAAAAAACCTAATGATTATATAGAAATACACATAAGCAAGCAAGAAAGAAAGAAAACAAAAGAAAAGTTTATTAAATTGGAAGTTTAGCAAACTGATCTAGAAGGCCAGGAATTATTATGAGAGAGGGATAGAAAAAGGGTGTGGAAAAGTAACATATCCTATATTCATGTTAAAGAATAACGTATGGAACTCTTGAAGATATTGATCTGGGATTGGCTCAAAGTACACCTACGGAACAAGAATCTGACACATATATCATTGGAATATTTTTTGTTGCAAATTGCAATCAGTCCTAACTGGAAAAATACAAGTAATTCAAAAGAAAATGTGACCATTTGCAAAACACCATCAGAGTTTTCTTACTAGAGACTCAATTTCAACACACATGCAATGCTCATTTTTGAAACTCGGACCCGAAAATCTAAAC